GAGAGAGAGAGAGAGAGAGAGAGAGAGAGAGAGAGAGAGAGAGAGAGAGAGATCGAGCAATGAAATGGAGGAAATCCTTTATACATGATTCAAACTTACTTTCTTTTTGGTACCAGGAATCAGGACCTTATGCTTGCCAGGCAGGCACTTGTGCAGCTGAGCTATATCTTTGGCCCATGTTTCAAACTTTCAAAGACTGTCTTATGACTAAAGCTGTCATATTTTCACATCAAGAACCAGGTGTGGGGTTAAGCAAGCCTCACAAAGAGGAAAAGACTAAACGCTGGGATTGGGTTCCACCATGTGGGAGAGGCAGGGGTAGAGATGGCTATGTAAAGGGCAAGTAGATAAGAGAGCTGAGTTACCTCTATATTGTGACTCTCTAATTTATCTCATTATGACCTTTCTCCCTGCCTACTGGGTAGGTGCCTCCAGGTACTGGCATGAGTGCAGTGTGGGTTGGGTTGCGGGGGGGGCCCAGGCAGGCCTAGGACCCCCCCCCCATGGAGAGCCAGTTCTGGCATGACATCTTGGGGTGCTGCAATCAATACCAAGAAAGCCCTCCGGATGCTGAGGACATCTTATTATTGGTGCTGGGCCTCATCGTTCTTGTCAACATTAGCATCAACATGGCAACCATGGTCAGTGATGGTTATAGATCACTCTTAGGGGTGAAGAGAGTTCAGAGGGAGAGCTGGGAGACAGCTCAGCAGTCTAAGTGCCTGCCTTGTAAGCACAAGGACCTGGGTTTGATCCCTGGCACTGCATGCTATGCCAGTCCTCACCAAGCTAACCACCTAAACTGGGCATGGTGGCGCATGCCTATAATCCTAGTGCTATGGAGGCTGAGACAGGAGGATCACTACAAGTCTGAGCTGCATAGTGAGACCTTGTACCAGATAGATAGATAGATAGATAGATAGATAGATAGATAGATAGATATTTTTTAAAAAGAGGATTCACCAGGACCCTCTAACTAAGCTGTATCTCAAATCTTTTTAGTTTTCTTGGGGCTGGGGAGATAGCTCAGTAGAATAAGTGCTTTCCTGACAAGCACAAAGGCCTGAGTTCAATCCCCGGTTCCGCCAAAAAAAAAAAAAAAAGTTCTTTTTACTTTTCTTTATTTTGAGACAGACCCTCTCTAAATCTCTAAATTACCCAGGCTGGGCAGGTGTAAAGGTACTTACCTATAATCCCAGCACTTGGGAGACTGAGGCAGGAGGATCACCACAAGTTTGAGGCCAGCCTGGGCTACATAATGAGTTCAAGGGTGGTCTGAACTACATGGTGAGATCCTGCCTCAAAAAATAAATAAATTAGTTGGACATGGAGACACAAGCCTGTAATCCTGGCACTGGA